TAATAGTATAATGGCTGTTATGGTGAACGTTATAGAAATTGGTCGGTTTGGTTTGGTTTAGCTCCGTTAGGCCCCGATCGGCTCCGTATTAATACACCATTCGGGCCCGATCACTTAAAGACTTAATCATTAATGAATAATTTTGACTGTCGTATTATCGGATCAATCTTTGCGGTCGAAATTGAAAGTTGTGGCAGGATTTTAAATGCTGTCAAGCTCCTCTGCACCCTGTGACATTATCACAAAACGATTTCTATACAATCTCTTTGTTATCCCCAAACTTATTTGCAGGTAGTGGTATTACATAAACATATTAGGAGATATTTCTTTATTTGATCGACTTGGCACTGACCACTGAATAATGACTTGATATGATTAATTTTTATATCATAAAACTTCAATTCACCCATTCCGTCCCCAGTACTCCAGTACTTTAGTAAATGTGAGCTAGTGCCTAGTCATGAAGTATCATAATGCTATAATGCTATAAAAGCATGGCAACGCGCGTTGCTAACCTGTGCTTGATCGCGCACGTGCAACCTTTTGATGTTGCTAAGCAACGGCGCAGTAAATATTTAATGAAATTACGCCATTATTCCAATCGCCAATTTTTCCTCACTTCCGACGTTAATTATAAAAAATCTAATGCCTAAATCAAAATTCTAACAATGCTATAACGCGGGCGCATTTCCTTTTTCTAGTTCTACAACCTTGCTAAAAAGCTAAAAATCGCGAGGTTTCAATTCCATTTGTGAGCTGAAATTGGTCAGAACGAAGGGGTCAATTTTTCGTGTTTTTGTCCCCGTTGTCGGGGGGATTCCGTCAAGTTTAAAATATAATATGGATACGATTACGATTCATATGTTGGCTTGAAATTAAAGGTGTATCCGGATCCCTTTTAGTTTTATCCTGTGGATATTTATATAAATTCAACAAAAATAAAGTTATAGTATAACTTTATTTTTGTTTAGATTTATTTCGTGGTATTCCAAAGCGTTTGATTAACCGATTTTGTGTCGTGGTTCACATTTAAAATAAAGTGCGATATTCAGTTCAGTTTAAATATATAAGTTCTTCAAAATTTACATCGACCATTACGTCATCATGACGTCACTAACAAGTCACGTGGTGTCGACCAGACCTCCATGCTAAATTCCAGGTTGGTCAGAAGATCGAGTATAAGAACTTTTCTACGTCAGTTTTATAACTACAAAGATGAATACTCTGCCAAACAGACCTCCAACACTCTTCTTTTATTAATTTGTTAAAAAGTTAAAACTTTTCTGTATGTGATTTTAATACCATTCATTTGTACGAGGTATTTTATTTTCTACTCCCTCGGCTTCGCTCCTGTATGCGTTGAAGGACTATGACAGACTCGCTCATATTTGATGAAGAATTCCATTTCAGCCCAATTTTTAACATGTTTAAAAATTAAAGTACACCATCAAAGTTCTCGACAACTATTAACTTATTAATAAATATAATACCATTGCTCCTTCACAATACCATGAGCTTCCTAAGTTCATATGATCGCGTGATCGCTTTCGTCAATACCGAATATATCCTCTCAATACTCCCCTCCTCCTCCTGTCACTCTAACTTGCTCCTTCATAAATCACTTTATTCTATACTGGACCATATAACACGTTTTACACCTCCCTGTCAATTGTGACAAAGCAATATACTCTAACTTGCTCCTTCATAAACATTGCAATATAGTTAAACTTGATAGTACTGAGTCTTTTTTACACCTTTACACGTGTATTATAACTTTATAACGGCGCTGTTGTTGTTTATAAAGCGTTTGTCATTTAGCTTTCGAGTGAAGCATCGAGCTGAGATTTTGAAGTTTGAATCGCAGTTTTAAATTAAATAAAGCATATTTTCTTCGATCAGGAGTATATAATATTTAAGTTGTATCCGCCCAGTCTTAAAGTAGAGCTGAATTGAATAGTCCATAGAGCAAGAAGCAATATAATTGTAAACACTAAACATGGCCGAGATTTTGTGTTGGTTGAGTAGGCATGGCGATCAGGGCATTTTAATGTTTATCGTTAGATATAATTTAACATAAATGGTCAGGTGGCTTGATTGTTATTAAAGTGTTATTAGATTAAATGTTTTTGAAAGCAGTTTTATATTTTATGCTTTACTTGTATCTTTGTATCGAATCATTGCAGTATCTTTTGATGTTTCTTTCTAAATGGGTTTATAGTTGTCGACAAAATTTTGAAAATGCTCGTGAAGAGACTTGGTTTCAATCTGAGAAGGAATTATTATTAATTTGGGTCCTTATGAAATAATTTGGTTGATCGTTTTTGCATGAAAATTAACTGGTATTCAGCGAATATAAAAATAAAAGGAAGCAGTACAGGACTAGACCATTCCCATTTCATTTCAACAAGTCATTTGGACAGTCAGGATATTGTCCTTAGCTTATCGTTCTCTCTCGCGTACAAAAATTTAAAACGAACCCCTTATTATGCAGTGCATATTACAGGGTGGGCCAAAAGTCAGTGGGCATACGTTGGCCTTAATAGCTCAGTCAGTAGTCACTGATTGACCAATTGAAATAATTCTTTCTGTTACGACTTACTACCACCACTGGTTCGAGGAATTTGTCAAATCGAAAAATATTAGAGTTCATTTTTTTCAAATGAAGGTTCATTTTTACATTTATTTGATAGTTTTGATAGTCGGAACGAGCTAAATTTTATTGAATTGTGTTTGGCCATTCGAATTACGTTTGTCCTGAACAAATTACAGTTGTAGCTTCTCGTATGGCCGAGAAACGAAGCATAACGAGTTAATTCATTACGTGTGATCAGGTGATTGGCTTACCTAATCACGTGATAAGGTCACCCCGTTAACCAACCCATTAAACATTATGGGAATCGTTAAGGCTGCCCAATTAAGGTGTCGTGTCACGGTGTCACATAATCACCCAGTCAATTTTGTTAACGAGATACACAAAATGCTTGATAACTTCGTCATTTCTTATCCGTTTCACGTAATTTTTTCAGATCAGATGCAACATTTAATAATCTACCGTCTCTGAAAAAATCAGGCGTCCAGCATGTTCAAAGAGAACAATATAGGTGTTTTAATTTTGAATGGGCGTGGTCTAAAATATTCGAATTTTCAAATTTTGACGACGGAATCGTCGAACCAGAAGGTACAGTATGCCATCTGAAAATCAACAGCTCTCAAATATAAAACACGGCAGAGCTATTAAGCCCAACACATGCCCACTGACTTTTGGCCCACCCTGTATAAATAGGTTCATATAATAAAGTAACAAAACAGCTTTCTTTTCAAATTCAAACTGTGCTAGTGATTCATTCGGATCACTTTTAGGGATTGTAATAGTTCTAACCCTCCTCAAAACGCCGTGCGGAAGCACTGTAATTCAGAACCGGGCGGTCTTTGGGAGCCTAATTGTTTTGAGAGAATGTGAGCTTTTATAAATTTCAATTTTCTCGAAACTTTTGAATTTTTGATTAGCGCCGAAAGACACGTTATTGACCTTGAAACTCAAAAGTTTTCTATATTTGTTGAGCTTGAAGGATTTTCAAATTTCTTGCCGAATAAATTTTAATGGCTTCAACTTATCAATTTCTTTAAAGCGTAGTTGTGTCTAAGTCTTATTGCGACCCTGAATTATTCATAAATCGAAGATTCCAGCAATTCGATTTCTCTTGTCTTTTGAAGACGATATCATCATCGTCTTCGTTTTACTTTAGGTATCCATATCAATTAGGCTCTTTTCTCATAAATTAAATCTTTTAAATTTAATCATCTTTTTTCTAGTTGGAAGTGGTGTTATCCTAGGTGGAGGTGATGTAATTAAGATTTTGGGCGGCCATGAAACTCCTATTGTGAAAGTTTCCCTCTGTACTTCAACCTTTATCACTGATCAACGCTTTTTAGCATATAATTATTTCGGCCCATTTTATATGTTTGTTCTATTTGCTGTTCATTTTTATATTTGATATTTGCAAAAGTTTAAATCAAATCAGGGTACGATATTCCGATTTCGTCCAATTGTCAGCTCACAGCTATTGAGAAAGCCGGAAGTACACTTCCTTTTATTTTCCCGAGTTAGATGTCTTTTATTCAATTATCTAATCGGTACAAATTACAACTGCAATTCTCAATGACAATTAGGATCTTATATTATTTTTAAAATCCTACTTGTTGTCTTAAGTCGTTTAGCTTTGTACCCTTTGCTTGCACACATTTATTGAGTGCTTTAATTTCGTTGAAATACGCAAATAAGTTGGGGTTACGTTTACCAGCCCGTTGTCTTGACAACCCGTCTAAGTTGTCATGACAACTTTGTTGTGAGATTAATGGGCCCATCACGGCGCGAAAAGGCCAACATGCACTTTAAGGACAGGGCGTATTACGGAAAGTAAACCTATTTATTTATGAAGGAGCAAGTAATCCTACTGTGCAGACGATGATTCGGTCATGGATTGGTAGGACTGGACTTATTGTAAAGTTATAAGTAGGAAGGTAGAACTGAACCATTTATATTATTTCTATGAGTCGCCGAGTTCGTCATTTTGTACACGGAATTTAGATAGCCAGTATTTGCGTGTTCAACCATTTCGATCCCCTTCACTTTGGCTTTGGTAGTAAAGTATGCGTTTACAGTATATTAAGTTAAGAACAAATGAAAACTTAAGAACTCGGTTCTATTATCAAGCATACGGTATGCCAATACACCCAATATAATTATAGCCAGTAAAAGAGAAGAAGTCTGAGGGGCGGGCCGGGTTATAGCTGTATAGTATGTGGGAGGGAGGGTGCAGTATGTGGGAGGGAGGGTGCAGTATGTGGGACCGGTATGAGGTGGGAAGGGAAGGGTATGTGTATGGAAGGGGCTGGTATGCAGTTTTACTATAACTACGTCAGCAATTTACAAACTATTTACGTGTTTTTAAGGTGATTTACTCCAGATCTTTAGTCAACCCTAACAAATGTTATCGCAGAATGGGCTGCCTGCAAAGAATGTTTGGAATTTTAGCAATCTTTCTCTTTCAACTTACCAGCTTGGTAGAGCCAACTTTCGATGCAGACAAGTTAACTACTTTCCTAGAAGACGGTAAATCTTACATTAATTAATTTCTTTGATTTTAGTATTAGTTAAATTGGATCACTTATCACCGATTAATTGTTACGTGGTACTTGGTTCCCATGAGAAAACAATTAAACCTTTACTAAATTTAATAATGAAAGTAATAACGCATAAATCATAATATTTTATAAATATAAATCAATAAAAGTAACACTGTATAAATCATATTATTTAAAGTAAATAAAAGTAATAATGTGTCCCGTGCAGCAATGTCGGAGTTCAGCTGCATTAAAACGGCCGCACTCACAGTCGGGGTGGTAATTGGAAATCCACCAACAAACTTTAACATAGTCATCGGAGACAGGTAAAGACAGGTAAGAGGGCCTGTACTTTGCCAAACACAAGGAAATATTTTAAATCTATCTTTTTGTACTTTGCCAAACACAAGGAAATATTCTAAATCTCCCCGTTTTTAGTGATGAAAGAGATTATGATGATTTTGAGCATTGTCAGTGCTCGTTTCATGTCCGAAATTTTCCTTTTCACCGTTCAAAAGTCGAGGATTTTTATGAAATCTCACTACATCTAATCCCAGTGACGTTAAACAACGTCAGAAAGCTAATTCAGATACCTTGTTTGGTATCGGCTCCACGACCAAAGCCATGACATCCATCATTGCAGATAAGGTTTTTATCAATTAAAGAATTTTTTATAAAGATTTTGACATCCGTTACAAAAAGTTAAATGTACGTATAGCTTGTGATGTAGCTTGTGATGTAACCATGGTAGCAGCATTTCAATTAACATTTTTGTGTATAGGTGTTGAAAGAAAAAGGTCTCACGTGGGACACGCCCATCAAAGACTTTTATGGGTCTTTTAAGTTACCAGGAGCTGAGAGGACGGAACAGGTTAGTTTAAATAGTAAATAAAAGTACATAATGAGTTTAAAATCTGTAATTCAAATAATTTCGTTGCAGCTTCGAAGGTTATTTTGTAGGATATGAGTCACTACTGATCAGGCATGGCGTTTAATAAGATTCATAAGTTTATTTACAGCAATATTCACTTGCAGCAATGTTCGTTCCTTCAGGTAACATTTAAAGACCTGTTCGCGCACAAGACATGCCTGAGTAGGAGTGATTTCTGGTGGGCCTCCGGTCCTGATATATTCGATGTAGAGGAAATGATGTCCAAACTACAGTTTCTAGGCGAGGTTTGGCTCACATTGGACAGTTTTAAACTAATTACAACCCTGTAAATCTATTACATTTATTGAGTATCATGGAATGGGATGGGAGTGCTTTAACCAGGTGTAGCCAGTCCAAACCCTGGCTCCATGATATGAAAGACTTGTATTAGTTCTTAATGAAAATCTGGTAGTTGCGTCATGATAATCACATTTTTGAGAGCCGTTATGTCGTGAAATTAAAAAATTAAAAAATTAGGACATTTCTTAACTTGCTGCATATTATGTGAGTGCTTGCTATAAGTTTCTATAGCGCGATATGACGTGCATATTCTTTCAGAAGTGCGAATTCCGGTCCGAGTTCAAATACAATAATCTGATGTACGTGGCAGGATCACACATCATAGAGAAACTTTCCAGTAAGTATCTGAAGAAAACTCAGAAGAAAAGTCCATTTTTATTTGTCTGATTCTACTTTTTGTTCATGATCGATCCAGTTAACTGTAAACTTGAAGCATATGGTGATCCAGAAATCTGGGTCAAAAAATTTTTTAATCTCAAGATTAACTAGATAATTTAAAAAGCAAAGATTGATTAACAATCGCTAACATTTGTCTTTTCGTATTACAGACAAAACATGGGATGTTTTGATAAAGGAGCACATTCTGGATCCTCTAGGGATGACCAACACTAAAACCTCCTTCAAGGAAGCCTTTAAGACTGGGAACACATTGAAGGGCTACGAACCATTCAATGGTTCTTTTTATGAACTTCAAACGGACGCTGACTTGTAAGTCAGAATTTTGTTTTATTTATTATTGAAACAAAATCAAGATTAGGATATTCATAAGATTGCACAATTATTATTATGGTCCAAAGATTTACAAAGATTTTCGCAATTGAACATAGAGTTCTTTTTCGATAGTCTAAACGCGATGGTTAGCGCTAAATTATAACGTTCATAGCGCTAATTACTAGCGCCAAGATAAGAACTGTATTTACTCCTTCATCAAAACAACAATCCCTCCTCAGAATAATAGATCTGGTGGGACAGGCTGGCTCGGTTCACTCTACTGCTGAGGATATGAACAAGTATATGAGGCACATTGTGGAAAATAACGGGGAGAGATACGCCGATCTAGTGAGAATTTTACTTTTTTAAATCGTTACTTTTTGTTACTTCTTACTTTCTCGTTCTTCTTATTTAATTATTTTATTGGAACAATCTTTTAAAATTTTAACACGAATATGTTTTAGTCGGAGTGATGATTTTGGTCAGGTATTATCGTAAAAAGTTTAAGCTCTGATCAGTTCTTACGCTACTATTAAAATTACTAAACGTCTCAGTTTTGGGACCAGACCGCATTTGACATTGGAAAATACTTTGGGGTAACTGGGCAGATCACCAAACCTACGTTTCCAGCCTCTTCAGAAATGAGTGATTATACTATAAGTAAGTAAGTAAGTAAGGGAGTGTTATTCTTACAGTGAGTATGATGGTCGCTTAGTATTTTTCAACACTTCAACAACATAATTAAAACATCTTACTGTTATTTTTGTGGAAAAAAAGAAGAAAACTCCTGATGGGTGGGTGCCATGGTGACTTGTGGAAGTGGCGTAACGAAGGGCCACAAGGGTTTTTGATCTGCTGTAACCATCCTGCAAAACAATATCAGGCTGATCTCTACATTTTAACGCTCCTTATATACAGCGTCACGTGATGCCCATACAAGGAGACTGATAACCGTGATCTCGTCAGGTTGGGTGAAAGGGCAGTATGAGGGAGAAGAGATATTGGCACATGGAGGAGACACTTTCACCACTCACACCTTCATCACCCTCAGCAGAGAAAGGGAGTATGGGATCTATCTCTCCTGCACTGGTGGTCTCAAAGGTTCATTTTATTTGCTAGTTCCCTTTGGCTTTACAAGTTGCTGTTCCTTTTGTCATCATAAAAGTTACCCTCTTATAATTAGTATTGCGGAAAGATATTTGGTGCTCTACCCGAACTAGAACTGTAAAAGTAACAACTCCTCTTCAGCTCGAACCACTAACCAACTGATCACATGGTTTATACAAGACATGATCATGGACAAGGAACCGTGGATAACTGCCCAGAACATCTGCACCTACCCATGTAGGCCAACTTACAGATGAATATTTTATATCTTATAGAAATGCCTCTGATCAACCTCGAAATCACGTCCAGTCCTTAAAATCTTTATCAAAATTTGGAGGGTTCTCAACTGTCAACTCTAAAAGTATCGCAAAACGGTCAAAAATGCAGTATAGAATTTGATTAGAAAATGAATCTCCCTATTATATCGTAAAGATACTAATCAATAAAGGATGCGAAACATGTCCTTTAGTTTTCTTTAGAGTCTTTCTTTAGAGTCCTACCCTACAATTTGTTTAGTCACAGTGAAAGTAACACAATCTTTCCTAGCTGAGTGGGATGATACACCTGAACGAGACAGAAGTGATCCTGACTGGGGCCTTTACGTTCCTGATGACTCAGATACTCTCAAATCGTTCACAGGAACCTACTCACACGATATCTTCGGCGATGTTGTTGTTTCTTTTGCGGATGATGAGGGATTGCAAATAGCTTATCAAAAGTAAGATAGAAATTATATATATACTAGTGTAACCCGGCCTTCGGCCGGGATTTCACTGCCGCTGAGTCAGAACCCGGATTAGGAGTGTCTTCACGTATCCAATAGTATCCTTAACAGTAACAGCTTAAAAAATAATATCTTAAACAATAATCAATAGAAATTAACCCTTATTAACTCCGCACCACAGTCCACACCCGCATATTTGAAAACATGTATTACATTGTTGTATGAAAGTATGAACTCTCTCGACAGTCTTTGAGCGATTCCTCCCCTAATAAGTTTAAAGTATTACATGGCAGTGTAATATATACGGTACATAATATACAGTAATGGGAGTGAGAGCGAGCCCCGTAACTCTTACTGTTTCTTGATTAAGCTGCTCAAGCCATTTTATTTTAACATTTGTGGTACAAAACCATCAATTAAACCACTTACCACAGGCCGATTTTTAAAAAATTTGCTTATGGGCTTCGTCAGAGTTTTGTCGACACTAAACCGAAAAACCAGTACTGTAACTCTTACCGTTTTTAAAAATTTAACCGACCGGAAATTACACACACTCAGACACACGCACAGACACACGCACACACACACAAACATTCTGAGATTATTTTTAAAGATATATAGACATTAAGAATTATACTGCAATTCTTCGCATTCCTTTGGAATATTTAAATATTTCTTTTGGCTGCATAAAAATCGTAATCAGTTAGATTGATTTTAATCTTAATCAGGGTAAACTGCACACTTAAAAGAAAGAAGGAGTCAGAAAAAGAGTTCCGTTGTCATGCCAGCGCTCCTAGTCTGCCATCAGATTCTAGGTAAATACATTATTGTACTGGTGCATAGGAGCCGGTTATAGAAGTTGGTTATCAATTAACCGACTCCTCAACTATGATCAGTATTTGCCGTTAATTTTACTCTAGGAAACTTGTTACAAGAAATGAAAATATTTCCTTGTGTTTCAGAATCACCCAGGACGCCAGGATCCTCAACGTAAACTTTGAAGAGGGCAAACTTTATTCCAACATGTTGGAACGTGGGGAGAACTATGAGTTCAACAACAACATTTCACCAAGACTATCACTAGTTTTCCTGTTGCTCTTTGTGCCCCTTTTTGTAATGGCCCCTTAGAAATATACCGTCAGTCGTAGGCAAATAGGTAGAGTACTTTTGGAGATTGATGGGGCCAATAGAATTTTCATTGGCTTCACTTTCCTTTGTTGTTATTCGACTTAAATGCCCGATTTAGTTGTTCAACTAACTTTATTTTGTGATTTTTATAGTAGTTGTAGAATGTAGATACCACCGATCATATTTATTATGAATGCCGGATAGATTCCGCATATTCCGCTATGTCCCTACTCACAGGGGGACTATGGTGCAGCAGTTAGCAGCAGTTAGCAGCAGTTTCTTTGCACTATTATAGTCCCCCTGTGTACTGAGTACTGTAGATATCAGAATTATTTTGATGGTGATAATTTGGACAGATATTTACAAGCAAAATTTTGATCGGCTTAAAAGATTAACGCTTTTTTCGTATCGATCCTGGAAAACAGTGTTTGGTTTATTTTGGAGAAATATAAGACCAGTTTTAAAACTCTAGGACCATTTGGGGTCCCATTATAGTCCGGATTATTGCCGTTAAAAGATGTGTATATTTGTATAATTTTATCTTATAATAAATTCTTGTTTGTTAAAACAAGCATGCTTACTTTGTATGGTCGACGTTAATTTCAAACGTTTCTATTATTGATCGATTGTTCCTAATGTTTACATTTCTCATTTGCTCATATCACGCACACGTCTTCTGCACAGCTGCCGTCCTTGTGCTGTTGGTTAATCATGATATGAGCGGGATATAAATACCTCATTTCATTTAATCGCAAGCAGCAATGGTGTGGATTTGGTTGTGATCAAAACGTTATTGAGGAAATAATTCTCATTATCAATCAATTATTAATCAATTATTATTCAATTATTAACCAATTATTAATCAATTATTAATCCATTATTAATCAATTATTGATCAATTATCAAATGTAATTGTGATAATCGAAGGATTGGAAGAAAATAGAAATAATCATATCTTGTATGGAAAGTTCAAAGTTTTATGCAACTATGATTATGAAAGTAAAGTAATAACTTAGTAGTTATAAATTGCGACTGTAATTACAATTGATTAATTCAAATAATTACAATTATTTACCTGATCATATTAAAGAGTGTTTCCACAACTATTGTCACTTTGAAGCAATGTAGATATGCATTCTGATTATGATTTTTATTTTAAATCTTATCTAATGGTTTTACTTGACTTTATCAGGTTTTAAGTACAAGTAAATGAGATTTCTGTGTTTACATCCAGAAGGTGCTGAATTAGGTAAATGATAAGTTTAAGTATGATTAGTTGGACAATGGAACTCGTCTATATAAAATGTTTGTCATTAATTCTAATATGTGCTTAAAGTTAAAAACCGGTAATATTGAGTTTTGCTACGTCTATCATGGTGATGCTTCTTGAGACAGAATTGTTTATGACTTTTAAGAAAATCGAAGCCTTAAAAAAAGAGTATAATTAATACGTTTTAATAACTTTATAATTTATTGGATCGAATATGCATAACAGTGGCTAAATTGCTATTTGAAATCAATATAATACCAAATTATAGTTTTACGTAACAAGTTAATAAAACATTTTAATAACATGGCTGTCATGCAGTTTTGTGAGGGTACTGCTTATTTTGACAGATCGCCAACGGAAACAAAAATTCATAATTAAAATGTGGCATCTGTTCTATTGGCATGGTTTTACGCTAGTTGCCAGTAATTTAACTGATACAGTAGACAATGCCAGAATTATATGGTATTAGAAACAATTGTAATTGTTCACTGTACTTTGGTCAGAATATGCCAATTTCCGGAAAGAAATTTCCATTGTTACACAGTGTGTCGTCACACAGGCATAATTTCAATTGTTATTACCTAATTACTATTAAACGCGATAAAATTAAGGCTAATAATTCTGACCTCAAATATTAACTATTTATAGTAATTGTGGATTACGAACGGATTTAGAAAGTTATATTTGTTTTTTCTGCATATTCGGGTTAAACCGTCTCCTGGCTGCTGACACGAAATCGTTTTTTTAAAACCAGATTTAGTGCCAAAGGATTCTTGAACGATTAACATCGGATTTGCAGCAATTATCTAATTATGGTTTCAAGTTTTGAAAGTTTTTGCGTGCATATCCTTGCTTTCGTTTCGTTGTGTGTGACCCTGTCAGATAAGGATAGTCAGCTGATACACGAGTTGAATGAGGGTGAGATAATTCGTTTAGACAGTGATTTTTACTTTTCTAAAACAGTTTTGATCATAATTACTGTAACCTTACTCCAACATCCAATCTCCCATATTATTTTAAACTAATTACAACACTACAAATCTATTACATTTATTGAGTATTATGTAACGCGATGGAAATATTTTAAGCGGGTAAATATCCTGTCCAACGCCAGGATACATAACATAAACATTTTGTTGTAACTTTGTATGAAAAGCATTAATATAGTAGCTATATAAATATTGACTCAAGTGTAATAATTCCAAGTCAACCACTGCAAACAGGACGACTATAATAATGAATTAAAATGAAATCAAAACCAAAAACGGGTAATTTTTGTGATCTCAGGATCCTACTTCATACTTGAAATGAATCTGATAACACTACAGTTCGCGGTGCTAACAGTTTGGCGGTGATTGTGTGGCATGAATTTCAAATTACAAAAACACCTGACGATACCCCAGTTTTAACTTTTTCCCTTATAAGGCATGATTGACAAAAGCTAAATTTCAGTCAAACAAAATTTCAGTCAAACAAAATTTCAGTCAAACAAAATTTCAATCAAAACGAATTTTACGCCTTTTATTACAGTACAAATCATGGAAAAACAATCAATTCGATATTTAAAGAAACTTGGAAACCAATATGCGTACTAATATCATGGTTGTCACTCTTTGCATAATTTACATTGCTAATCTTTTATCCAACATTCAGGAGTGACAGTGAATGGACGAGCTCTGTTCCAAGGAGATATCGTACAAGATTACATGATCAGCTCAGTGTTCGGGAGCAGGCAGAAACGGGGTCTACCACGCCAAGAATACCGAATATGGGAGAAAAACACCATTCCTTATCTGCTGGACAACAATCTTGGTGCGTACATTAATGTCTATATCTCTGTATTCATTGCTGTATGTTATAATTTTATAGTCTATTATAACTGTAGCAATTGTCAGTATTGTCAGTAAATAGTTAATGTTAATAAGTTTCTAGTTGAACTAGTGGCGGCATTACTGTCAGTATCTATTTAGGTTTAGTTATGTATCGTCTCAGCTCTGGGTATCCCGTTCTTGATTAACATTATATTATTAATATTAGAAAGAAACTTATTATTTTTATAACAAGAACGCTCAAAATTTGGCATTATGGGAAGCAGTGTAGAGTATAAATATTTGTGCGGTTTAAATTTCCATAGAAATCACACTTTCCAAATTGCGTGCAATATATGCATCTATACAAATCATTTAGATTTATATTTTAGATCTAACAAATTCAAAAACTCTATTTTCGTAAATTTCTGCATGAAAAGCACAATACTAATAGTGAATAGCGTTAGTAGATTTGGTCGAATTGTCTCAAAATTAAAGTGCTGCATGATGATCTTTAACGATATTCTGTTTAATTTTTCGTTTAATTTTGGTAGCGTAAACGCACTTTAATTTCATGCACAATCTTTTCAAAATTGTACATGCATACCAAATATAATTAAATGTGCTTTTTGTAAAAAATATCAAATCAAGAATAATTTTTAGTTATCATATATAACACATGCATATTTAATATTGATACATGATACAGTACAAAAAATTTTAGTTTATAGTATATAATACATGTTAAACTTAAAATTGCTCTAACCATGCAGTACGATATAACCGAACCCCTCGTGCTTGTGGTAGCGCGCGCCCGCGCCCTGCGGCTAGCAATGATTGCATTGTAGTCCATTCTGTTCACTTAACATAGCTGTACAGCGCCAAAGAGATCCCGAAGTAAGCTCGACTAAGTTCTCAAATCCGTGAAGTGATCGTCTAAGTGAACCTAACAAACCCAACAGACCCTGAATTCTATTGTGGTATACCTTATTATCAATTAGTAGACTAAAATAGTCTACTAATTGATATGAACCTAACAAACCCAACAAACCCTAAATTCTATCTTATTATCAATTAATAGACTAAAATAGCGAGTGGTTAAAATTAGTGCAACTCAAAGTATGGGCGAAGACGACCTGCCAGTCTCGTCATTCGTCATTAAGAATTCGGCATTTAATTTGGATTCAATCTAATTGCAACATTGAGAGTCAACATGAAGAAAGGAAACTAAATTATCTAAAAGGTCATGCGTATTGCATTATAACAATAGGATTTGGTATATGATTTTATGTGTTACATATTTTATACTAAAATTATTTAACAGTATTTCACAGTCACAATATCATGACTGTGTAGCTGAAACCATGTTAATTGTAATAGTGGCTATATTGTGGCTATATTGTGGCTATATTGTGGCTGTATAGTGGACGTACCGTTATTGGTTGCTTATCTAATGATGCGCGGATCGTCGTCCGAGCTGCCCCGCATTTCACATCGACGAGTTTCTATTTCGGTTAATAATTGTACGGATATATCATCCATTAAATGTATTGAGGACAAACGTAATCTCATAACAGTACGATATTATTTAAGAAAACTATAGTAGCAGAATATATTTAGTCAATGAAAATTTTAAATATTATAGGTTACAAATTATTCGGGAAAATTGTTGATTGGCGAAGTATATAATCGATTGAGGAGCACTACCCGAAGGCATTACTCGGCACTAACGCCTTAAAATCTTTAATTACAATCAAATATAAATATATGCACACAATGTATAAAGTATTAATAATGTATAAAATATGATTATGCTATTAGCAAATTTAAATAGTACTATTAAGAATTTTAAATAACTCTTATCTCTTGACATAAATTTAGAACAGCGACACAGGGTCTGAAGAATGCGCGGTGATATTTTTATCTTTTAAAAGTTGTAAATGACAGTGAAATTGCGCGGTGTCGATAGCATTGTAATAAATGCTCGAAGATAGTCATATTTTGTTATGAGGTTAAAGTTTTGTTGCTCGTTATTATGATCCAAATTATTTAAATTTCTAAAAGTACGAAATTTGAGTTGTCCCAGTCCTTGTCATCCGGTTTATGTGCTTGTGCAGTAAGCACATGCTTGTTGACTGTAGACTTGAATGAATTTAGGAATTTGTCTTGTAGGCAAGTGGTGACATATTTTATGTCCTTGTTAATTAGGTTGGTTCAAAAAAAATAAAATTTCTCAAATTTTGCTGAGTATAAGCTCAAACGTTGATCCCATGGCTAAAACACCCACAAAAAAATTTTTTTTGGTCCAACTCGTCTGGGATGGGACTGCACATGCCACGCCCTAATTTTTTGAGGTGCTTATACAGGTAAAATTCTTAAAATTGCCGTTTTTGACCTTAAAACGTCTAGACAGGGTCCCGAAAGCAATGGAGTGTAATATAAATGTGATAAAAAGGTTAACTTTAGTCAAGGTCTCATGTCTCTACGACCTTAGCATCAACATGTCTCTGCGCCTCCATTTTAAGGCGCGGTCGCGTCTCATCCATTGCTCAGTAAAGGTCGTAGAGACATGAGACTTCAACTAAAGTTAACCTTTTCCTACCATTTATATTAGAGTAGCACAGATTCAGAGCTCTAAACACATTCTTTCAGCCTTAAAACGACAATCATATGAATTTTGCCTGTAAAAGTTGATATCTTGATGTCAATTAACATCGTAAGCTTTTGAAATTAAGATTAATTAAATGAATCATAATACTTAACACACAATATTTATATTACACGCAATATGAAAAAATACAGAAAATCTTCCTTGGATTCCACGTCTCCACACCCTGGAACTGTCAGAGGTAAGAACAACTTCGTTGGTTGCATTGCGTTGCAAAATTTCTTGCATTACAATGCTAGTGAAAACAAACATTACTGGGGGAATTCGCCCTCTTCCAAGCTCTCTTAAAATGAAGTCGCATTCCGGAGCCTTATGTTTATGAATGAGCAGTTTGTGAATTTGTATACTGCTGTTGTCACTGTCGAGAACGAGCTGTTCGAGTATTGGGAATATGGCAGCTATGGCATCATCCTACAGAAGAACGCAAGCATACCGTGGAGAATTTCCCCTCTTCATGAATCCTACAATAATTTAACAAATATTCCCCATCTTGGGGACTGGAGAGGGAATCAGTCCTTCAGCTTTAAGAAGATCAGTTTACAGAAAAGATTAATTTAGATCCATTACTGATAACTTGGTAAAGGAATTAGAACCAGATGCTATTTTGTTAGCTAATGCTTGGATATTTATAGTTATTTACTTAACTTGGCTTGACGTATCAGTAAGAGATTATTGTACCTCGTTAGTCAAGAAGAAATCATCAGACCTTATTAATAGTGATCGGTGACCCTGTCAGTGACGAGCTATGAAGGAATCATTGGATATCGTTGATAATGATCCTGTCAGTGACGAGCTATGAAGGAATTATTGGACCTCATCAATGCTTATCCTATAGCTGACGAGTCATAAAGAAATTATAAGGACCTCATTTAAATCCTAGTTTGACGAAAATATTCCTCTGGCAACAAATTCTTTTTGGCAACGAAGATTAGACAGCTTGCTTGTGAAGACAAGGCGATCCGAAAACCAGGGTACCTAAATCAGAACCTGCTGACTTCTTTAAACCTAAAGGATCAGTTCCACTTTCCAGTGCAGGGACCGAGAAAAGTTCAATGTCGAATCCAAGAAAGACTTCCTGTATTTATATTTTCATATTGTGTGTAAATATTGTGTGAAGAATTATGACTCATTTAATTAATCTTAATTTCAAAAGCTTACGATGTTAATTGACATCAAGATATCAACTTTTACAGGCAAAATTCATATGATCGTCGTTTTAAGGATAAAGGAATGTGTTTAGAGCTTTGAATCTGTGCTACTCTAATATAAATGGTAGGAAAAGGTTAACTTTAGTTGAAGTCTCATGTCTCTACGACCTTTACTGAGCAATGGTTGAGACGCGACCGCGCCTTAAAATGGAGGCGCAGAGACATGTTGATGCTAAGGTCGTAGAGACATGAGACCTTGACTAAAGTTAACCTTTTTATCACATTTATATTACACTCCATTGCTTTCGGGACACTATCTAGAAGTTTAAAGGTCAAAAACGGCAATTTTAAGAATTTTACCTGTATAAGAACCTCAAAAAATTAGGGCGTGGCATGTGCAGTCCCATCCCAGACGAGTTGGACCAAAAAAAAT